TTCCAAGATCTGGTAACCTTTGGGTGATGGCGCAGCAGCAAGGACTCAACCACTTACAAGCAGATGTAGTGTTTGGGCTCAAAGAATGATCTCAATGAATAAATGACGATCGAAGCATTGTTTGTAGTGTGTCTGTTAATTTAAAATATTGAGATCAAAATAAAAACGGAAAATTAAAAAAATATATAATATATGAAAAAGTAACTGTGTTGTAACGGCCTTTCACTTTATTTTATCTTCTTATTAATAGTTAGACCCGGATATGGTCAAAGTCGGGGAACCGTGATTAGAGTGAGCAAAAAAAAAAGTATTTCAACTTTTTATACCTAGCAATAATATTGAATCTAATTCTCTAGCGGTCCTCCAGCTCTGCGATGTCTCGTTCTAACTATTAATAAGTAGTTATAAAGTAAATGGCCAAAACAGTTACTTTTTACACTTTTTAGATTATTTTTGGGTATCGGGGGTTTTTAAATGTACAGTTTTGATAAATGTATAACACTCCTCCTTGGGCCCTTGTTGGCGACCTCGGAAACAGTTTTTTTATTCATCCCTTCTTTTAAGGACAAGCGAGAGAAGAGAGAGACAGATGTTTGTGTGATGAATACGAGCATTTGTACTCCAGTCATGGATGTTTAACATGTATTTCTATTTAAAAAATATTTTTATATATGTACAATATAATATGTATTCTTTCCGTTACCCTAGTATCCCATAACATAAGCCTTACAGTGCTTACTTTGGGGCTAGGCTAATTGGTGTGTGTTGCAAATATTTATTTATTTTATTTATTTATAGTGAAATAACGTGCTTCTGTTGGCGATTTAGGTCCCAGGGTCCCAATCTCCCGGGGTAGAGGACGAGGTCAGGGTAGGCATCAGTGAGAGTGATATTTTTGGTATCGCTAGCATCTATAGGCTATGGCAGCAGCTTATCATCAGGCGGGCCATATGCTTGTTTTCTACCCTTTCTTGTAACATAACATATAACAAAAGCTTGATGATTGGAAAATCACTTACACTAATTAATATTTTAATTCATATAGCACGAGGATTTTTGGAGCCAGAATGTCGCAGAGTGAGAGTAAGATGCCTAATTTGGGACAGGTATAGAATAGATGATCCACTGCACCATCCTCGGTTCTGCAATCACATGGGGGTGATTGTAAGACCACTTTAAATTAATATGGGCTTGCTGGAAATTTTTTGATTATTCTCGACCACGATCTTTATTCTGAAGCCAGTGCATTTCCCATGATTTAAGTAAAAGCTCACGCTTAATTTATAAAACGTAGTGTCTATCTTGTTTTGAGACCCTGGAGTACTTTGGGACACCAGACTCTCCCCTTTCGAATGTTTAATACTTTTAGAAGAGGTCAAAGGAAGGAGGAAATTCTAGGAAAAATCCGAGACGTCCATTAAGGTCTGATAGTGGTTAATGAATTCACCCGCATTTCGAAAGACGCTGGTTTGAGTCCAGCCTGATTTTATTATTTATACTGCACATATGAGTGTATAAGTGGCGGACTTAATGCCATTAGGCATTCTCTAACAGTCAACCGGAGAATTATAGCAAAGATCTTAAGAAGGTAGTGCAAAAAGAATTCATCAAAAGAATTTTAATATTCTTGTAAAAAAATCTTTGGTTAATAATTTTATTAAAAGAGACCATAACAATGTAAATAAAATAGTGTCTCTTTAGCTTATTGCCTACATAGAATAAATTATTGGTTTATACTACATAAGTAGCACAACACCTCAGCCTCTTCAGAATATGATGAGTCTAGATTGTATAATATATTGAAAATTTTATTTGTACAAGTACAAAAGAGATTTGTTTTTACCGGGTTACGGAAAATTGGTAAATGGATCATTAATATCAGTGTAACAATGCAAGAAAACACGTTCATTTAAATTATCTTGCCTTATCCTACAAATCTGGTGACGTGTGAATAGTCACCAGCCATAAGTAGAGGTGTTTAAATTTTTTATCATTAATGGAAAAATTACGCGTTCGCACTCGTTTGACGTGTTTTAAGTACCTACTATAATTGGTAGGTGTGGACTCAAAAGAGACTAAGAGGTTCGTATGATAAATAAATAATAAATAAATAAATATTTCTAACACTCACACCAATTAGCCTAGCCCCAAAGTAAGCACTGTAAGGCTTGTGTTATGGAATGCTAGGGTAACGGATAGAATACATATTATACTGTACATATATGTGTATAAGAATATTTATATAGAAATACATATTAAACATCCATAACTGGAGTACAATACTCGTATTCATCACATAAACATCTGCCCCCACCGGGGCTCGAACCCGGGACCTCTCGAGTCGGCGACACCCGGCGTACAAACCACTCGGCCACGGAGGTCGTTCGGCCGAAAGGAGCTCGATGGCGCAGCGATTAGTACGTACTAATTTTTACGTACGTTAAAGATTTTTGACACTGTTCTTATTACTGAAATATAAAATTGAAAAAATGCATATAGATAACAAATAAGTAAGCTCATGTATTTATAATTTTGTGATTGAGTAACAATAACTGTATCAAAAATAGAAACTACTGAAACACGATTATTACTTTAACTTAGCAGAATGGACAACCAGCCCCTCTAGCATAAACACCGAAACGGGATAAAACGATATATCGGCATTAACTAATTTTAATGACTGCCGAGGCAGTTAATGCCGATATATCGTTTTATCATATCCCGTTTCGGTGTTCATGCTAGAGAGGCTGGTGGGATGGAGTCAAACGACAGGACCTATATTAAAAAAAACACCTATCTTATGAACCGCCATAAAACAGCAGAACGAACGTTCGTTGAGACACGATTTTCACGTAAGCCTCTCAGAATCGACACTCTGATGTTAAGTGACGATGGAGTCTAGACGCGAAAATAGCTGATACAGCAGTTCTACCTACCTCACAGCCATTCGTACCTTGACACAGACGCGGGACACATGGGCTTGCTCTCGCTTTTTCATGCAAGCAAACATGTTCCGCGTCACGTGATTTTCATGCAAGCAAACATGTTGCGCGGGACGTTTCGAGACGTTGCAGCATCACGTAGATTGAACGTTGCAAGTCATGGTGAGGGTCATTTTGTCTCCTAATTTATTCCAGGCCTAAAGGATCGCGGGTTATACCTAGGAGGGCGAGAACACGTGAGCGAACAATGCATTCTTGGTTGGTACACCCGGGACCAACGGCTTAACGTGCCTCCCGAAGCACGGAGGAACTCGAGATAAAAGAGTTTTGGTGCTGCGTTTGCAATTGTTAACTACTGTACCTATCTCCATTAGGCTTGCGTGGTGGGTTCTTTCTATTTTCACGTCCCCGTTCTTACTCCCGTTACCCGTACTACTTACTTAATTTTTTTTTCATCTAAAAAAAATTTTTTTTTTCGATACAATGAATATAACCAAAATCATTTATCCAAAGAAAAGTTTTACTAGAAAAAAAATCAGGCGGACCAGGCAGCAGACGGGACCCGAACCCGCATCCTTCGCTATCCGGGTGAATGCACTGACCAAATGTTACCGTGGCCCTGATGGCCGTGTCAAAAATTTTCTAGCCTTAAGCTGCAAGGCAGCGCCATCTCTTCGCATTGTAGGTAGCCCACAATGTCAAATGAATACTTTTACAAGTATTAAACATTTGAAAGAAGAAATAGTATTTACAGTTATGTTTTTATTTTTTAAGCATTTAACTGCTAGGATGTTCAAATCTAAAGAAAAGTTTTACTAGAAAAAAAACAGGCAGCAGACGGGACCCGAACCCGCATCCTTCGCTGCCGTCCGTTCATTTGACATTGTGGGTTACCTAAAATGCGAAGAGATGGCGGCCTAGAAAAATTTCGACACGGCCATCAGGGCCGCGGTAGGATAATTGGTCAGTGCATTCGCCAGGATAGCGAAAGATGCAGGTTCGGGTCCCGTCTGCTGCCTGGTCCGCGTGGATATTTTTCTAGTAAAACTTTTCTTTAGATTTGGACATCTAGCAGTTAAATGCTTAAAAAATAAAAACATAATCATTTATCCAGTGTAGGCTGTTACAAGCACTCATGTATGTCGAGAAGCTACGCCATCGGTTCCTAAATCTACGGCGGGAGACCTTGTATTGAGAAGAACCGGTAAGAAACTCAGCAAGGGCTGTTTCATTCTCCCTGTTTTATTATTTACAGAGTCGTCATGTTGAAAAATGACCTAAGAGATGATTCATGAAGTTGCCTTTCATTCAGAATGTGAAATATACATTAATTGTTCAGCTGAATTTTGATTGCTATGTCATACAGTATAAATACAAATAGTGTTATTTATATTACGTGTAACTAAGCATTAACCTCTTCAATAGCAAAGTAGTTAAGGCAGACTTATCCTTACTGGCAGCAGCCGTTCACGAGCATGACGCATGAACTAGTCATTGCTCTGCTCAACCATATTTTAGGGAAAGTAACGACCCATCTCACACATCACCACCGAAGAGACTTAGGTGGTTGGACTATATCGTAGATACAGTGATAGGTAGGTATCATTATTTTACCATGGGTTCTATAATATTGCATCAATCTTTTTTCAGAAACCTCAGCCTGAATAGCGTTTTGGTTAAAAACATTTTTTTGTATTAAGTACAACTTACTTTAAAAGACACATCAATTATTATCGCTTACAGAATAAGTAAATAGAAAGATAAGAGCTTTTTCTTTATAACTTCTATAAATATGACATTTGTGTATAAACATTTCTATAAAATAAATAGTAATGAATACTAAATTGTATTAACAATTTCCGTATTTCTCCAGTTGGCAACACAAAAAGGCAAATTTTGATAGCAAAAATAATTAGCTTATAGATTTGGAAAGATAAATCAATTTTTCTATCATGTGTACTTATGTAGGTATAATACGTATTATGATTGCTACTGATAATTAACAATAACTGCCTATATAAGATTTTTTGTATGGAAATTATCAACTAATTATTAATCTTTTACTACAGAAGCTTAATCGTCACAAGCGAAGTAGAGTCTGTGCGGAAATAGAATGGGCGTGGCGAAAAACGGAACTAACAGTAAGATTTTTATTTGGCAATCAAACCCAGCAATCTGTAAAACGTCAAAGTTTTGTATTGATACGGATTTGTTTGTTGTTGTGATTTCTTGCGGTTTTTTGTATTTAATCATGTCTAGAAGGGTAAAAACTTACAAATCGGTAGAAAAGTACTACAGCGCCCTCCAATCTAAATCCCATTCTCTTTCTGCACAGACTAGTATAGATTTTGCGTCAAATGAAAAATATAGACGGTTATAAAAAAAAAATCTGCTCCGTGCTGTCAAATTGTGTACTATGTGCATAATATAATTATTAAATTGTAGTATGACTCATGATAAAGGTACACTACTTGCCTTTCCACATGTTTCAATTTTCGAGCTTTTGTGACACCAGACGTAACTTTGAACGCATATATTGCGCAGTATTATTATGACTCAAATGCAAATATACTTATAATTAAAAACAAAATCTCATATCTGATAAAAATCTCTTTGATGATACGATGATAAATATCCAGATAACATCTTAATCTACCTTTTTCTAAGAATGAATCAACAAAGTTCAATCATTGTTAAAATTTAAATTTAATTTAAGAAATGCGTAATCTCTCAATTAGTTGCTAACTGGCTGGGGTTTTTGCTAACAATTAAATATAGTTCGTCAAATAAGTCTTTCACCTCAAAATGTGAGATAACAGGAAGAAAATTTGCAGAGCCTTTTCATTTGAAAATTTGACTTAAGAAGTAACTTGTTAGCGCGCTCTCCGCAATATAGTATTTTAAAAACGATCAGTACCCCTAGCACGAACCAATATCGAATTCGTATCGTATGCGAGTTCGAAATGTCATTGTCAAATGTGTACTGATTTTTAGTTCTCGTTACGTACTTTGTGCCGCTGCTGTTCAAGTTTCCATACAAAATTTAACATTGACATTTCGGTTTGCAAACTATTCGAATTCGATAATGGTTCGTGCTAGGGTACTGGTCGTATGAAAACATTTTTTGCAACAAAAAATACGCATAATTGCATGCTTTTATAATACGTTTTAGTGCAGTAGGAGAAAAAGTAATTTAATTGAGGTTTGACCTCGATATCTCTTAATGCTGAATTACACGTGCCTGAAAACGGAGCAGTAGCTTGCATGCTTGTTAACGGCATGCATAAGTTTTTTTTTGTGAAAATAGGCGACGCGTGCAAGTGGGCCTGCTACAGGCATGTGGATTTCAGCCTTTACACCCACCCATCGACTCTTGACATGTTAAAGAAGTAACATGTCAAAAGAAAGGGCTCTGCAAAAATTCAGCCGGTTACCAGATATTCCAAGGTTATTTTACTTAATTGATTGGATTAAGTATGAAGCAGAGAATAAAAAAAAGCTTACATGATTCACGCCAAACGGAAAATTTGTTTTATTAATAGAAGTAAATTTTCTCGAGTTATGTATCATAAAGTCGGGGACGACCTCCGTGGCCGAGTGGTTTGTACGCCGGGTTTCATGGTGTCGCCGACTCGAGAGGTCCCGGTGGGGGCAATTGTTTGTGTTTTGTGCTCCAGTTTAATATGTATTTTTATATAAATATATATTTTATATATATGTATTCTATCCGTTACCCTAGTATCCCATAACACAAGCCTTACAGTGCTTACTTTGGGGATAGGCTAATTGGTGTGAGTGTTGGAAATTTTTATTTATTTAATTAAAGTGACTTTTGATTAAATGGTTGTGATGTATTTTACTTTTATTTTGTAATAAAGGATCTAAATATATAAATTTTTCAACTTGCTTGGAAATATGAGCATCATCTTGACAACCTTCTTCGAGATTAATCGAAGTTGCTCTACTGGCAGAGTGACATGCGAGCAGCGGCCGGCAAAACTTGTATGAAAATCTATATCTGTCGTGTTTTGCAGTCAAATGAATTACATAATATACTCATATCTGCCGTGTAATTTAAAAATGGAACAATCTTTTACTCCGAAACATGGCGAACAAGGAGGTTAAGTTACCTCAATAAATATCAAAGGTTTTATTTAAATTTCGAACGGTCCTGCAATACAGAAAGCTGTTTATTGAAAAAAAAAAAACCCACCAAGTGCGAGTCGGATTCGCGCATGGAGAGTTCCGTACAAACCTGTAGTTATATTTTAATAATTAATAGAAAATATTTTTTATTATATGATATAACTAAAAATTTACGGTTTTCGCAATTTTTCCTTTATCTGTACTATAAGACGTTACCTTCGTACCAAATTTCAAGGTTCTAAGTTTACGGGAAGTACCCTGTAGGTTTTCATTCCAGTGCGAGTTTCGAAAAGGACAATGGGCAAAACACACCCAGCTCCAGTAATGTAATTAGTACGAATCAATAGATCTATGAAAAACTAGCCTTTTTTATTATGACACCGTAAATAAATATCCTGGTAGTCAAAAGATATGACTAATGGGCATACCTATATATATAGGTATGCCTATATATATATATATATATATATATATATATATATATCTATATATATATCATTTTATAGTATGTATATATATATATATATATATATATATATCATTTTATAGTACCTTCATTTTATATTATTAGTAACCTTAATAATATGCCATATCGTACTATACAACAGGGGTATATAGGGGTTGAAGGACTTGCAGTTGTTAATAGTCGACTCGTCTTACTTCGTTGTGATTGTGCGCTTCCTGTCACTTGATTGATTTTTATCTAAAATGTTTTGGACATTGGAACACGATTATCGGTTTTGTCAATTAGCATAGATGAACTGGAATCATGTTTTCTCCGAAGCGTGGACAAGTTTGTGTGATTTGTGGTCGCTCTGTTTTACATAGAAAACAATTTTCTATACCGAACAGACTGTTTGAAAAAACCCCAAACCATGGGGGGATTTTTGGATTTACTTTAGCGCGACAGAATAACATAAGGCCCTTATGTTATTGCACCTTGTGAAGTACCCCCATAATACCTGAGCCCTCTATGTAGGGTCGAAGTAACTTACTTAATTAATTCCCTTGTTCCATTAATGTTCGTTCGTTTTAGTACTTGTACCTATTTAACTTAAAATAACTAAAGACCCCCGAGATGGAATTTGATGCGCTTTGGCACACATGATCATGACTATAATACCTTTCAAACAAATGTAGTTTAAGCCGTGGCGACTGTGGGTGCAGCGTCCATACATTTTTGCCCAATGTCCTTTTCTTCGCGGCATTGGTCATTTCAAATTAGCCCGCTTTTATTGAGACAACTTAGTAATCGCAGCGCCTCGCTTATTTAGTCCATATTTCAGGGACCAATTTTTCTGGGTCCTTTGCGGCATAAACGGCTGTATCTTTTTTTGCTTTGGCTGGCGTAGACCTGAGTATTAGGTATGAATTTAAGTTTGATTCCTCTACGCGTTCCTGAGAAAAACGGTCCTGACGTCTGTCACACAACCGGACGGACAACAAAGTGATCCTATAAGGGTTCCATTTATTCCTTTTGAGGTACGGAACCCTAAAAACAAATGAATGTGTGGTGTTCTTCGTTGTTCGAATCGATTTTGAAAAGTCAAGAGTAATACGACCGACGCGGCCAGGAGGGGAGTAGCCAAAGTGACGCAATACTACTGAAATCATTTTGCCACTTTGTGGGGGGAGGAATATGCACACAAATGCAGTCTAACATACTTTTGCAAAAAACGAAATTGTAATAACGACACTCACACATAAAAATGACAACACTAAACCGTGTACATTTGAATCTTAAGATTTTTAATTGACACATCTGAAATTCAATAAACACATTTTCTTATAAACGATATTGATTGATCAAATTAATCGCGACGATAATCGAAATTATCAATTGCATCTATCTAACGGTTAAGTATAAATTATATGCAATTTGTAGTGGTACAGTCAGTTTAGTGCAAAGTTTCGTAGACAAAGAAAGAAGAGTGGACTTTTTGTTATGAAAAGTAAGTAGCTTTAATTATACCAGTAGGCTGAAAGTTCACAATATAAGGAGCACTGTTGTCAGAACATTACTTTTGTAATATTTTGTGTTACTTTGGCCCTGTAGCGATAATATTTCGTTACCTTACTCAAAACGTTACTATTGCGTTACTTTTTGATTGAAAAATAAAATAATTAATTTAGTAAATGCCAAATTCTGTTTAAATAAAAATTATTCAATTTAATTTATTGCAAACATAATTTCTTCCATGATCTTGGTTCCGATTGCTGTCAGGCAGGTGTTACTTTTGCTTATCGGTTACCGGCAACACTGATAGGAACCTCGCTTTGTGTTAGTTTTCTTACTAAGTGACTAAACAAAGTGAACAGATGGTAAACTCTTAGAATCAACACATGATATATCATTATATAGTGAATCCCGTTTTATGATGTCCTACTCTACGGTATTACATACTTTATATTGTATGGCGAAGACGATTAAGTCACAATCTATCCAAATTCAACTTCGTGAGTACCACTCCTGACGTGTTCTTCATTTTGTATGAAACTGATAATGTCCGCACACGCCGTCTGTATCTTACGTCGCTTCTGCGTGTCCCGCTCCTCAGAAATAAATATTTATTTATTTATGTCTATGTATTTTTGTATGTATTCATATGTGTGTATTTGTTTTATATACTAGGTTTGTACAAAGATTTTCTCGCGTATTAATGCAGTTAATTACACTGCCGTCCTTCCAGCTTCTTTCTCGTCCTCTACATCCCAAGGTGGTCTGGAAGAGATCGCTCTTAGCGATGAGACCGCCCATTTTTACAATGTATCCAGCAATTATGTACAATGTTTTATATTTTTTGTGGTGTAAAATAAAGAGTTTTTATTTGTTTATTTTTTACAAGCGACCATAATGAGAATCACTGCGGAACTAAAAAATTTTTCGAGATAAAAAGTTTACTATGTCTCAATCCAATAAAGCAATAAACAATAGGGTACCAAATTTCATCCAAATCCGTTCAGCTAATCTTGCGTGAATGAGTAACAATTATACAATCATAGAAACTTTCACATTTATAATATTAGTAGGATTAAAATTTATGCCACATAATATTAAAATGGTCATCAAAAAATTGTGATTGATTTACTAAAAATACAATTGGTAACCTAACCTAACCTTTTGTATTTTTACTAATCATAGGTTTTAGGTGATCATTTATAATTTTTTTTGGACTATATACGTATATATATTTCCCTTTATATATTATCTCTTACTATGAAATAATTTAATAAACTTTTGTTTATATTGATAGTGTTATTACGAATGTAATAATTTGATTCTTCTTTATATATCGATCTCCCACCTCTACCATACTTTTTAACCAAGACCCTGCTTAAAACAAGTTCTAAAGTATTTCAGTTTAAAAGATTATACTAAACAACAAAGTGCTGTGATTAGGTATTCAGTCACTTTCACAAAAATATTAAATATCAATATAACACAATTGTTTTTTTTTTCAGATTCAGCACTAATTCTGCTGTGTGCGTTTGCACTAGCAACTACAACAAGTACAGACGTTAATTCAAATGGCTGTCCGCAAGACTGGAACATTGAAAAATTATTGCCTCATCCGAAGTGCAACAAGTTCTATCAATGTTGGGATGGAAAACTTATACCACTTACTTGTCCATCTAAGCTTTACTTTAGCGTACAACAAAATAGATGTGAATGGGCAGAAAAAGTAGATTGTGTTGATAAAGACATTCCTGATGACAACAGCGGTGGCGATGATGATAATGTCGGAGGGGGAAATTGTGATCCTAGTCTAGCACCTCAAATATGTGCGGTAGAAGGCTCTGACGACGTATTAGTTGCCAATGAAAACTGTAATAAGTTCTATATTTGCGCCAACGGAAAACCCTTTGCACAGAAATGCCCTGATAATTTACTCTTTAACCCAAGTACAGATCGATGCGATTGGCCAAAAAATGTTGATTGCGGTGATCGAGTAATCCCTGATGATGAAAGCCGTGAAGATAACGAAAGCAGCAATGAAGATGATAGTGACAATGTTTGTGACAACGGAGAAGCTGCAGGTGGAGACAACGACGATCCCAGCTCAGCCCCTGAGATCTGTTCTGCTGAAGGGTCAAACGACGTGCTCGTGGCTCATGAAAATTGCAACCAATTCTACATCTGTGCTAATGGTAAACCGGTGCCCAGATCCTGTCCTAGTAATTTATTATTCAACCCACGCACAGACCGTTGCGATTGGTCAAAGTGCGTCGATTGCGGTAGTCGAGTAATTCCTGATGATAACTGTAATGGTGATGGTAACAACAGCAACGGGGATGATAACAGCAATGAAAATGAAGGCGACGAGAGTGGTGAAAATAGCGGCGACGATGATGTCTGTTATAATGGAGAAGTTGTAGGAGGCGGCAATGATAATCCTAGCTTAGCCGCTAAGATCTGTTCTGCTGGAGATTCAAACGATGTACTTGTAGCTCATGAAAACTGTAACCAATTCTACATCTGTGCTAATGGTAAACCGGTGCCCCAATCCTGTCCTGGTAATTTAGTATTCAATCCCAGTACAGACCATTGCGATTGGTCAAAGTGCGTCGATTGCGGTGATCGTGCGGTTCCAGGTGATGAAAATGAAGGAACGGATAATAACAACGAATGTGACAAGTCAAGTAGTGGAGCTGGCAATGATGATTCCAGCTTAGCCGCGAAAATCTGTTCTGCTGAAGATTCAAACGATGTGCTTGTAGCTCATGAAAACTGTAACCAATTCTACATTTGTGCCAATGGAAAACCGGTACCTCAATCCTGCCCTGGCAATTTATTATTCAACCCAAGTACAGATCGTTGCGATTGGCCAAAGTGTGTCGATTGCGGTAGTCGAGTAATTCCTGATGATGACTGCAATGATGATGATAACAACAGCAACGGAGATGATAACAGCAATGAAAATGGAGACGATGAGAATGGTGAAAATGGGGACGACAATGATAGCAATTCCTGTGATAACGGAGAAGTTGCTGGAAGTGGTAACGACGATCCCAGCTTAGCCGCTAATATCTGTTCTGCTGAAGATTCAAACGATGTACTTGTAGCTCATGAAAACTGTAACCAATTCTACATCTGTGCTAATGGTAAACCGGTGCCCCAATCCTGTCCTGGTAATTTAGTATTCAATCCCAGTACAGACCGTTGCGATTGGTCAAAGTGCGTCGATTGCGGTGATCGCGCGGTTCCAGGTGATGAAAATGAAGGAACGGATAATAACAATGAATGTGACAAGTCAAGTAGTGGAGCTGGTAATGATGATTCCAGCTTAGCCGCGAAAATCTGTTCTGCTGAAGATTCAAACGATGTGCTTGTAGCTCATGAAAACTGTAACCAATTCTACATCTGTGCTAATGGGAAACCGGTGCCCCAATCTTGTCCTAGTAACTTATTATTCAACCCACGTACTGATCGTTGTGATTGGTCAAAATGTGTAGATTGCGGTGATCGTGCGATTCCGGCTGATGAAAATGAAGAAACAGATAATAACAACGAATGTGCTATGCCAGTTAATAGAGCTGCCAATAATGATCCTCGGCAAGCATCTACAATATGTTTAACTGAAAATTCAGAAGGTGTTTTAGTAGCTCATGAGAATTGTAACCAGTTCTATATTTGCAATCACAGTAAACCTGTGGTAGTTGATTGTCCACCATCTCTGCTCTTCAACCCATATAGCGATAAATGTGACTGGTCTCATTGTGTTGAATGTGGACAACGACTGAAACCCAATAATCCTAGTTATGGTACTTTTAATAAGCACCTCCAAGCACGTCAAGCATTCAGAAGGTTCTTTCAATAGATAATAATTTAATTGTGTTTACGCGAAAAAAAATTGTTGCGAAGTAATAAACAATGAATTCATAGTTGGTTGATCTTTGAACTTAAAATTGTTATATTAACATACCTAACTGTTAAATTTGTAGTTTTCGTAAGACTTCTAATCTAGTCTAATAATCTAAAAGTTTATATGTACCTACCTATTCAAATACTGTAAATGAGAATGTAAAATTACATACTATTACTTTATCCCTGTGCAATTTTTATTTATGTAACCTATCGAAATGTTGTTGGGGTTTTTGTATCAGCGAAGCCTGTAAGGCCCTTATGGCCAAAGGCGTCCCCCCGCGTTTGTCTTTTACGCAGTAAGTGTCTACAACCGGCTGCAGGGTATCAATGAGGATTGCATACGCTCCCGCCCCTTGTGTAGGAAAGTATTGATATGTTCTTCTTTTGCAAATATACTGTGTCTTTACTTGAGAGATCAATACGCCATTCGCCCCGTGTTTTTAATCTTAATTCTATACAACCGACTGCTTATTGCTTTCTTTGACAGATAACTTGATTTTGCTCATTTTATTAGATTTCGGTTGAAATAGAAAGACAAAACCGTTGTGTTGTTTGTGGTCTGTGTTGTGGCGCAGAAAACATACGCTATCTCAAGAATTCCTTCACACTATCAGAGGCTGGGCTAAGATATAATTCTCGCTTATGATATGAGATGAGATATAACTTATATCTCAATATTCCCGTGGGTCACAAAAATGCTCTCATGGTCAATATAGCTAGATGTCTAAAGCTTTAAAATAAGATAAATTTCATTTCTGTCCTCTGTAGGGAGCTTTTCCATAGTAAAGGTTTTGTTGATGACCTCCGTGGCCGAGTGGTTTGTACGCCGGGTTTCATGGTGTCGCCGACTCGAGAGGTCCCGGGTTCGAATCCCGGTGGGGGCAGATGTTTGTGTGATGAATACGAGCATTTGTACTCCGTATCGTGTATATAAATACTAGCTGTCCCAGCGAACTTCGTACCGCCATAAAAAAGTAGGGGTTGGTGGTAGAAGGGCGAAAATTTTGGGTTATATTTATTTTTGTATGATGTATCATAAAAAAATATCTAAAATAAAAAAAAAGGGTTGAACTACCCTTAACATTTAAGGGGATGAAGAATAGATGTTGTCCGATTCTCAGACCTACTGAATATGCATATAAAATTTCACGAAAATCGGTCAAGCCGTTTCGGAGGAGTTTAACCACAAACACCGCGACACGAGAATTTTATATATTAGATACTTATACTTATATATGTACAGTATATGTATTCTATCCGTTACCCTTGTATCCCATAACACAAGCCTTATAGTGCTTACTTTGGGGCTAGGCTAATTGGTGTGAGTGTTGGCAATATTTATTTATTTATTTATAAAAGTTCCCAATGTCCTTTGAATTAAGAATTTTAATGCAAGGCTCACTTTATTTAAGTTTTTTCTCTATATAGCGTTATATCTAAATATATTAGGTATATCCCTCTGCTGCTAACACGAGATATAAACAGGGAAGTCCGTTCTTTATGTCGCTGGTATGGTGGAGCAGGAATTTGTTCGACGGTGCTGAGATGGGCCTTTTACTAAGTTCCCGAGGGATTTTTGACATTGACCATCGTCAGCCTATTAATTTTCTTACTGCTCGAGCACAGGCATTTCTTATGGATGTTATTGGGAACTTTGGTCATGACATGACCAACGACGCGGGTGAATGCTATCGATTGCTGAAGAGCAGGGAAATAATAAATTTTTGATTACCTATCATTAGACATATCGAAAGTTTGCCTTTTTACGCCAATGTTTGTGTGTGTAATACAATAATCAACAATAGCGCTGTGTCTATCGTCTATCCGCGGATACGGATATCCAGTACATCCACTGAATAAATTACCTAAATATTTATTATATTTTTAATTAAAGCAATAACTACTAGATTCTTAAATCTTAAGAACATTTTTACTAGAAAAAAAGTCACTCGGCCCAGGTAAGATTCGTTCCTGCGCCTTACACTATCCATGGGGATACAGTAACCGTTAAGGCACTATGCTACCGAAAGCCCTGTTGACTTTTTTCTTTTTTTTAACCTTAAATAACTAATTTCCTTCATATAACTCATCACACTTAAGCGCTCTATACACAAATAGAGTAAACGGTATGGTAGTATAGTAGAGTACCTACTATCCTACTAACTCTAAGTAGGTACCTAATGAAAACAGTGTTGGTCGAGTAGAATAGAACATTTTGGAAGAGTAGAGTAATTATTTATTAACGTGGCGTTGTTGACACTATTCCACTATGATTCCACCGCACACTAAACTCGATCTGTGACCCGTATATACGCTTATAAATATAAGAGTACCTAGCTAGGATTCGTTCACACTTCCATGAGAATTTTGTTTCGCGAAAATATATATTATACTTCTGTGATTCGCCCTTCGAGATTACACTTATTTCACTTGTAGTGGCACGTAATATGTGCTGCCATCGTACACAATTTTATAGCAACATTAACCTTTGCCTAAAAAAATTAATAAAAATATGCGCTCGCACTGTGAGTAACTCGATATATTCATACACGAAAAAGCGGGAAACGTTTAGCTGGACGGGCGCGCTTTTTGTGATAAAATTTCAATTAAATAAAAAAATCGATGAGTGGAGTACAATTTAATTTAATCTACATATATTTATTTTAGTGTTTTGTAGTGTTTTTATATATATTTTTAGCTGAATAGGTAAGTCTTTACTATTTTTCTGGTTTCACCATGAACGACCCTCCCGACACAGGGTAGTGCATTTTGTTACTATTTCAAATGAATGTATGGAAACCGATGCTTCTTCATCTGGGCGCTCTCGTAAGAGCAGTCGTATACATGTGTTTGCACACACTGAAAAAAGGCGCAAAATACGCGGAACTGATGGTAATCATTGTGAAAATAGTTGTAGTTGCTATGATACTTTGTATCCAAGAAAAGAAGAATTCCCTTCAAGAAATAACTTCCCCAAGTCTCAACTTGCACCAACTAAGACCGATTCCTCTCAGCCTACACCCACACCAATTGGACGTGTTCTTTATAATGAAAATGATTTATCACCTATTGTGATACATGTGCAAAAAATGCAATCTACTTCTCTCGATGTTACTACACTCCATCCAGTTACTTTTGGAAAATTTGTGAAGAGACATTGTTTTAAGGATATAATTTTAATAGAATGAATAGGCTGAAATGAAGTCTATATGAAGATATTAATAGTCAACATTTAGAATCTCAAAACCTAAAAGCATTTATCACAACATTTAATGTTACTCGAATGGGCATTGTTCGAGGTGTGCCTGCAAAATGGTCTCCGGAGGAAGTTTTATTAAGTAACATTTCGTCTAACTTTGATAAATTTCCACGATAGGCTGTGGAAAAATTATCAAAGTTAGAAGAATTAACTATAAAATTCTTGAAAACGGTGTTTGGGAACCTACACAATCTATAGTCCTTACATTTGATGGTCAGATATTACCAAAAACAATTTTCATGTGTTATAAAATTATTAACCAGTGGAGTTGCAGTACCAGTTTGAGAACAGGATTATAAAAAAGCAGATAAGTTCTATCCTATGACATTACTATGATTTACAAAAGGATTTGCTAACAGAAAGTAATCAGTGTTAATATGTAGTGGTAGAAATTAACACGCACAAAGGACATAGTCCGTGAGGCTACGTGAGGATGATGATGTGAGGAGAACGGGTTGAGATAGATTTATTTACTTTACTTGACTTGATTCTTTGATTTCACCTTTCAATAAGAAAAATCTATTTAGCAGAAATGACAGCACAAAAGCGGCTGTTCAGTAAGTAAATAATTATTCTGTGCATCTTTCACCACATTATTAAGTATTTTGTGGATATTTTATTTCAAAAAGAAGCAATCAAAATTCGGGTAGTAAGTTTATCATGATTTCATGAATATCATGCAAGACTGAACTCATTAACATTTGCCACGGTGATTTAATTGACGTTATAAGCCGCCACACACTAAAAATATGATGTTACTTACGACAGGGTAGCCAGCATCATCATCGTATATTTTTTTTATTTTAAATAAGATTTAATATTAATCGGAGATAAATAAAAAATTAAAAGTATATGTTCATGTTACAATATTAAAACAAGATTTCAAATGGTTTATGTTTCGTCGCTGCCGGAAACCGACTACCACTTTTGAAGCATGTCCTTTCTTAGTTGTAATGTTGTATTTTGTACGTTAACGTCACTTTTATAAATCGTATATAACATTTATAATATATACATTTTAATAGTATGCAATACATATCAACATATTTCATTAAATATTTATTAATAATCTACCCTTGTATAGGTATTTAAAAGGGCAACGAATAAAATCTACTTAAATAAATAATAATATATGGAAACAGATGGAGCTAAAGAAGTTTTAATTTAGTCGTGTGGTCATAAGCACAGTCGTTTTTTTTTTCAGTTACCTTTTTTATTTCCTGCCTGTTTGTGAACATTTTGAAAAATATCTAGCCTTATTTTCACATATTTTTGCAAATACCTAGAAGAAAAAGCAATTATCAAAGCACATATGACATCATAAACATAACTTGTAAAAAAAAACAGTCTCGCAACTCAGTTCTTCTACAGGAAAAAAAAAATCATTCCCTATGTAATGCGACCTTCTGTCTTAAGTTATTACGTAATGAGCTAACGTAACATAATCTTATAGGGATCATGGTTTCGATTCTGGTAGGATTTCCTAAACTTAAAACTTAATATAATATCAGTCTTTCCTTTTCATTCTGTATAGAGAATGACAAGGATACACTGTTGTCAAATATAAGTTTAACTTTAGAGAATCAAGCCAGAATCGACACCCATATCAATATTAAAAATCTTTTATGTATTGAATAAATAGATCGACTTGGTCATCTCATGAAAACATAATGTATCTCACAAGTAATACATATCATTTAGATAGTTTATTGCGATTGCAAATATTTTAAGAACTAACTTGTTTATTTTCTACTTACTAGAAAAGGAATTAGTCCGGTCAAAATAGACATTCAAGGTTACATTAATTCGCACCTAGCTGAAAATTGGCATGAATGTTGAGACGAAAGACGAATAATTTTATAACATATTTTTTAAAATAATAAAACTTACCGTTTAGTTGGAAAACCCAAAAACCCGAT